GCATAGTCTTTTCCAGAGGTGTAGAAGGATCTGGATAAAAGGTGGGTAGCACAATTTCCTGAGAAAAGTGGAAAGTGGAGACCATCTTGGAGAGAAAGGAGATATCAGGTCTAAGGACCACTTTATCCCAGTGAAAAAACAGGAAAGGTTCATTTAAATGTAGTGCAGTCAGTTGGAGGACCTTCTGGCTGAAGTGATGGCCACAAAGAACGCTACCTTCAGGGTAAGTAGTCTTAAAGAGGCCGATCCCATAGGTTCGAATGGGGGCCTAGTAAGCTGCGTGAGCACCAATGAGAGTGACCAAGAAGGAGCTAGTGGAGGTATCGGATGGTAGAGATGATGTAGGCCTTTGAAGAATCTCTTCAGAGTAGGTGAAGAGTTTGGCAGATGGTGAACCAGTGAGAGTCAAAAAAGCCAATCCTTGGTTGTGAAGATGAAGCAGAAAGTGTAAGCCCATAGAGAGCTGGACATATGAAGAGGGCTCTGCCCTGGCCTCAGCAAAGGCACAGAAACGTTTTCATTTGTAGAAATAGGACCACTTGGTAAAGTCTTTTCTGGAAGCTGAGAGGATACTCAGAAGCTCTGGAGTGGTCAAGGTTGGATCCTTCAAATTGTCAGGTGGAGGCTGTGTAGGTCTGGGAGGAGGACTGCACCTTTGGAGTGGGAGAGAAGGTCTGGCCAATTCAGAAGTTTGAAGAAGTGACTCCTGGACAGGTGGAGGAGAGGGGCAAACCAAGATTGTCTCAGTCAGTAATGTGCCACCAAGATTGTACTGGACCTGTCCTCTGTCATCTTGGTTACCACTCTTGCCACTAAGGGGATTGGAGGGAAGGCGTTGACTCCAGTTCAAAAGGAAGGCATTTCCTAGGGAGCCTATCCCTCACTCTTCCCTGGTGCAAAACAGAAGGCATTGAGTGTTTTCTGGGGAACAAATAGATGCAGTTGAGGGGTCTCCTATTGAGATGTGAGAGTTAGAAGGCCTCTGATGACAGGGACCACTCATGTTGTAAAGCTTTGTCCCGGCTGAGGGAGTCTGCTAGAACATTGTCTTTGGGCCTCAGCACACGGAGGCCCTGGAGCCGCCGCTGGACGGAGCACTGCGGGGATGCAGCCTTCGCATCCCAGCGTTCCTGCGGTGGCTCTGGAAAGAGCGCTAAATCAGCGCTCCTTCCTCAAGACAGGGAAAGTGCGCCCTAAAAGCAGCGGGCGCACTTTCCCTGACTCAAACGCCGTGGCGCGTCCGGTCGCCGCGGCGTGAGGTCATCCCCGGAGCGCTGGCCGTGCAAACGGCCGGCGACTCCAAGGGCGACCTCAGGAAGAGGAAGGGGCGCCGCTCGTGTGGCTGCCCCTCCTCTTCAGGGCCTCAAAGACGACCCTATTAGTCGTCTGCCGAGGCCCTTTGTCAGCTAGGTGGACTGCCTCTGGATGAATTGGACTCTGGTGTCACCATCTCCACAGTTGAAGAGTGAGCCAAAAAAGTATTGGAGAGTGGGTACCTCCCTGTTTGTTGCCCACCTGTACCACTCTGTGGTGAAGATGAATTTTGAATGCTCAGAAGGCTTTGATGACTGCCAACAATTCTAGTGCATTGATGTGCATTTTGCCCTCTGAAAGGGACCAGCGACCTTGAACTTGAAGGTCTGCAAAGTGATCTCCCCATCCAGTCATGGAGGCATCCATGGTGACCATTCTGGAAGGTTCTGGGGACTGGAAGGGCATTCCTTGGAGAATGTTCCTGGGGACAGTCCACCAATGGAGTGATGCCCTCACAGTTGAGGGAAGGGTTAGTCTTTTGGACTGTCTGTTGTGAAGGTGATTGAAAACAGACAGGAACCAATCTTGAAGAGAGCAGAATTTCAGATGTGTAAATAGGTGACAGCTGTGATGGAAGCCATCAGACCAAGCAGATGTTGGATGTCCTTCACTGAGTGGTGATGGAGATGGAGGACAGTATGAAAATGGGACCAAAGGGACTTCGCCTTTTGGTAGATAGGCACAAGCCATAAAAGAGTCCAGAGACTGTCACTCTGACTAGTTCCAGTATGGACTTGGAAGGGTTGACCATAAGACCCAGGTCAGTGAAAAGAGGGAGAGTGTAGTGAACGTCTCGGAACAGTTGAGTACGAGAGGATGACACCAGTAGCCAATCATCTAGGTAAGGAAATATTTTGATTCCTTGAACAAGCAGGTGAGAAATTACCACCGCCATACATTTTGTAAAGACCCTGGGAGAGGTGGAGAGGCCAAAGGGTAGAACAGTATATTGATAGAGATCTCCATCTATGGCAAATCAAAGGTATTTGTGATGTTGAGGCTGAATGGCTATGTGAAAGTAAGCATCTTTCAAGTTGATTGATACGAACCAGTCCCTGTGATGGAGGAAAGAGGATAGTGGATTGCAATGTTACCATCTTGAACTTGCGTGGAGTGATGTAGCAGTTCATGCCTCAGAAGTCGAGGATGGCATGGAGGCCACCATCTTTTTTGGCACTGTGAAATATTTGGATAAAAAGCCATCTGTCCAGCACCTGTTGGGGATGCGTTGGATGACACCTTTATCAAGAAGGGAGGTAATTTCCTCTTGTAGAGGAGAAGAGGAAGGAGAAGAACAGAAGCCACCAAGAGATGGAGTATTTGAAAACTCAATGTGTAGCCCAGGCAGATGATGGTGAAGACCCAGGTGTCTGTGGTGATATGTTGCCAGTTGTCATAAAAGCAATCACATTATTATTATTGCAAAATAAATAAAAATTAACTATATACATCCATTATGCAGGTAGAGAGCATGAACAACAGAACGCAACAGTTTTTAAGATAGAACAAAGAAGGCTCTAAGCTAAATCCAAACTCCACCTCTGGGTGGTTACATGCATAGACATTCGCTGAACAACCCTAACCCAGCCTCTAACCCAGCCCTCTTGCTGTGAGTCATGTGTCATGTGATCCTGGTTCACACACAACAAGATGACCTAATGTTTATATTCTATCTTTCTCTGTTCCCAAGCCACTGACTTTGTCATGTTCTGTGTGAATTGTTTACCATTTACCCCCTGTAGCTCAAAAACTTTTCCAGTAGAAATTTTCCCACATCTGTACATTTCACTTTAACTACATATCCCAACATTCCTAACAGTCATATACTAATTGCTATTTATCTTTTACATTATCTTTTTGTTTCCCCTGTATTATTTGTGTTTATCCATTTCCATCGTGTCATATAATTTTAACAGCCATTCCTCTCTTACAGGAATATATTTGGTTTTCCATTTCTGTTCTAAAGCTAATTGTGCCATGGTGGTCATGTAAAAGAGTATTTTCCCAAATTTAGTTTCAATTCTTTATCCATCATATTTAACAAATAAAATTCTGGTTTCATTTGTATGTTAATTTTTAGTATATCATTTATTGTACTGTTCACCATTATCCAATATTTCTTTACTTTTTTACAGGACCACCAGCATACGTTATTATTGTTTTTATATATTTTGGAGATTTTTGCTGGCATTAAGTACCATCGAAGGTACATTTTATAATAGTTCTTCCTTAAGTTTTGCGATACTGTGTATTTTGTTACTTTTTGCCATACATTTTCCCATTTACTTAATTTCAGTGGATACCCCATATTTTTTGCCCATTGTATCATTCCTTCCTTTACTACTTCATCTTCC